CAAATTTGGTGTGATTTCGTTCATTGGTTCTTTTGTTTTTAAGGTACTCATCATGCATAGAGCATTTATATATATAGATATAGATATATAGATATATTGCTTTGTAAATTAATTTTTATTGGTATAGTATATAGTTACATGGAAAATGGGGAAATATTGTGAAGAAGATAGATAAGTAGGAAAAGAACTAGGCATAAAGTGGCAATATATATAGAGAGAGAGAGAGACAGAGAAATGAGAAAAAGAAAAAAAGGGATTCAAAAAACTAGTCCCTAAAGTGGATGAGGCCCCACCCAGAAAAATGGGGGGGGGGGGTGAGAAGAAAAAATGGGGTAGTACTTCCATATATTCTTTGAAGATCTTTTACAACCCTTTTCAGCTATGTATTGTTGAAGGCTTTCATAGCCGGAATCACTGGGTTGTTGTAGGTTTTTTCGAGCTGTATGGCCATGGTCTAGAGGCATTCTCTCCTGACGTTTCGCCTGCATCTATGGCAAGCATCCTCAGAGGTAGTGAGGTCTGTTGGAACTAGAGACAAAGGACTCTTGTCTGCTGGAGCTAGGTATGAATGTTTCAACTGACCACCTTGATTAGCATACAATGGGCTGACTGTGCCTGGAGCAAACTTTTGTTGAGAGGTAATAATTAGATGTCCCTGCCTGCTTCCTCTCTGTTGTTGCGCTGTTGCAATTTTAGAGTTTTTTTTAATACTGGTAGCCAGATTTTGTTCATTTTCATGGTTTCCTCCTTTCTTTTGAAATTGTCCACATGCTTGTGGATTTCAATGGCTTCTCTGTGTAGTCTGACATGGTGGTTGTGAGAGTGGTCCAGCATTTCTGTGTTCTCAAATAATATGCTGTGTCCAGGTTGGTTCATCAGGTGCTGTGCTATGGCTGACTTCTCTGGTTGAAGTAGTCTGCAGTGCCTTTCATGTTCCTTGATTCGTGTTTGGGCAATGCTGCGTTTGGTGGTCCCTATGTAGACTTGTCTACAGCTGGATGGTACACAGTAGACTCCTGCAGAAGTGAGAGGATCCCTCTTGTCCTTTGCTGAACGTAGCATTTGTTGGATTTTCTTGGTGGGTCTGTAGATAGTTTGTATGTTGTGTTTCCTCATCAGCTTCCCTATGCGGTCAGTGGTTCCCTTGATGTATGGCAAGAACACTTTTCCTCTGGGTGGATCTTCATCTTTATTCTCGTGACTTGTTCTTGGTCTTACAGCTCTTTTTCAGCTATGGTGTTAAGCGTAGCTTCCCTATTTTAGTTCTTCTCTTACATCGTTTTACTCCTTTCAAGAAATGATCTCTATTTTTCGTTTTTTAAAATAACCTTTTACTAAGTCCCAGTTTGTGCGCTTCTTTGGAATTCCTTCGTTTGGTGACAGCCAGTAAGTTGTCCTTGTTCATTATTTCCAGTATTTTATTTTGCCAGTCTTCTCTTTGAGGTATTTCTTTCTGTCTCCAGTTCTTAGCACAGTTTGGGCTGCGGTGGTTAGGCAATTGAAAATTATATCCTTGTTTTTCTCTCCTTCGAAATCAAGCATTCCAAGCAGAAAGAACTCTGGTTCCTTTTTTATTTGTACTTTAAGAATCTTTTGTATGTCATTGTGTACCCTTATTTTTCATCAATTAATATTAGACGCTTTATTCTTTGCTTTCTTCCTTGCCATATGAATTTAGAAATGTCTTTGTTCCATGTGTTGAAGATGTTCAGATTTTTTATTATCGGCAAGGATTGAAATAAAAATAACATTTTTGGCAAAATATTCATTTTAATCACTGAGATTTGGGCTAATAGAAATAATTTCAAATTTTTCCAATTGTCCAAATCTTTCTTGATTTCTTTCCATTTTTGTTCGTAATTGTTTTTCATCACTTGAGAGTTTTTGGCTGTCAATGCTATGCCCAGGTATTGTATTTTCTCTGTCATTTGGAATTCAGTTAGTTCTGAGAATTCATCTTTTTTCTTTTTTGATATATTTTTTGTTAATACCATCGTCTTTTCCTTATTAATTTTCAAGCCTGCTACTTTTCCATATTGTTCAAATTTTATCAACCAGTTAGAGATGTTTTCTGTTGGGTTGTTTATAATGCAGATTATATCGCCTGCAAAGGCTCTTATTTTGTAGTTTTCCTTATTAATTTTGATGCCATTATAAATAGAAGAGGTGACAGTAGAAATCGGGCTTAATATACGAGGGGTATTTTTTAAGTAAGGTCCGTTTTGTTGTAGACACTAGTAGTTCGCGCGTATACCGCAACGAGCACATGCGTCGTGTACCGGCATGCCTCGGGAACAACTGTGCTCAGTTTCCGCTCTGTAGCTAACCTGTACGGTTCTGTTCTGTGCTTTAAAAATGTTTAAGACTAACAACTCACCCGCCGCATGTGAGGTTCGCTCAGTGATACGGTTTTTGTCAGCAAGGAACCTGCCTGCTGCAGAAGTTCGTCAACAGATTTGTGAAGTGTACGGTGATACTGTTACAAGTGAAAGCAAAGTGCGTAAGTGGGTATGACAATTCAAAGATGGCTGTGACAACGTCCATGATGAGGACCACTCCGGTCGCCCTTCTTTGATTACAGACGATTTGGTGGCTTCAGTTGAAGCGAGGATTCGTGAAGAGGGTATTTTAAAATTGGTTCAGAGGTATGATAAGTGTTTGAACAAACTTGGCAACTATGTCGAAAAATAGAGTGAAGTATGTACTTTCTGAAAATAAATTTACTTTTTTGAAATAAACTTTCGTTGTGTACTTATGTTCAAATGGACCTTACTTTAAAAATACCCCTCGTAGAACTTCCAATCCCACCCCCACCCCCAAATCTAAAATCTAGAACACTTTGGATCCCATGCATTTTGAATAAGGCTTCCCAGCCTGTAATACCTTCCATTTTAGTAGATACTAAATAACTAAAATGTCTGTTGGTATATTTTGCAGTTTGTGTAGTTTACAATTTATTAGCTTTGCTAGCAAAACTTTTATTTCCTTTAGGATATATGTCATCATACAGTAGGTAGGATTTTGGCAGCATTCCTGGTTTTTCATGTTAGGATTTATAGATCTATGTGTAACTCTGAATAAGATTTAGTTTTTAATAACACAAACAAAAGTCTGAAAATCAAAGGGGCAGAAATTTTATCTTTTTTGTGTCTCACTGATTAAGGAAATGAAATATTATCTAAGCAATAGGGTGTTTATTAATTCCTCCCTCCTCCCATTCACACCTAGGGCAGCATCAAGTAGAAGGAATTAAACCCATTAAGCTTCTTGAGTGAGCTTTAGCAACTTAATTGTTGACTCCTTATGCTTGGGTTTGCCATGCATTTTTTTATAATAAGTAATATTTGTGTCATGTTCCTACCCGTGTAACATCTCCTACTAACCAAAGTCTGGTAAGAATCCTATTTAGCTGGCCAAATAATGGCTATTAAAATGGGCGTAAGTCTCCGGCACAGCTTTGAATTTTTTTTTTTAAAAAAAATCTCTGGTCATGAGCCTGATCCTGTTCAACATCTTTATTAATGACTTAGATGAAGGGCTAGAAGGCATGATCATCAAGTTTGCAGACGACACCAAATTGGGAGAGATAGCCAATACTCCAGAGGACAGGAGCAGAATTCAAAATGATCTTGACAGATTAGAGAGATGGGCCAAAACTAACAAAATGAAGTTCAACAGGGACAAATGCAAGATACTCCACTTTGGCAGAAAAAACAAAATGCAAAGATACAGAATGGGGGACAATGCCTGGCTCGAGAGCAGTACGTGTGAAAAAGATCTTGGAGTCCTCGTGGACAACAAGTTAAACATGAGCCAACAATGTGATGTGGCGGCAAAAAAAGCCAATAGGATTTTGGCTTGCATCAATAGGGGCATAGTGTCTAGATCTAGGAAAGTCATGCTACCCGGCTATTCTGCTTTGGTTAGACCACACCTGGAATATTGTGTCCAGTTCTGGGCACCACAATTCAAGAGAGATATTGACAAGCTGGAATGTGTCCAGAGGAGGGTGACTCAAATGATCAAGGGTCTGGAGAACAAGCCCTATGAGGAGCGGCTTAAGGAGCTGGGCATGTTTAGCCTGAGGAAGAGAAGGCTGAGAGGAGATATGATAGCCATGTATAAATATGTGAGAGGAAGTCATAGGGAGGAGGGAGCGAACTTGTTTTCTACTGCCCTGGAGACTAAGACATGGAACAATGGCTTCAAACTACAAGAGAGGAGATTCCACCTGAACATGAGGAAGAACTTCCTGACTGTGAGAGCCGTTCAGCTCCTTAAGCCGCTCCTCATAGGGCTTGTTCTCCAGACCCTTGATCATTTTAGTCGCCCTCCTCTGGACACATTCCAGCTGAAGAAGAGAAGGCTGAGAGGAGATATGATAGCCATGTATAAATATGTGAGAGGAAGCCACAGGGAGGAGGGAGCAAGCTTGTTTTCTGCTTCCTTGGAGACTAGGACTCGGAACAATGGCTTCAAACTACAAGAGAGGAGATTCCATCTGAACATGAGGAAGAACTCCCTGAATGTGAGAGCCGTTCAGCAGTGGAACTCTCTGCCCTGGAGTGTGGTGGAGGCTCCTTCTTTGGAAGCTTTTAAACAGAAGCTGGATGGCCATCTGTCAGGGGTGATTTGAATGCAATATTTCTGCTTCTTGGACTGGATGGCCCATGAGGTCTCTTCCAACTCTTCTATTCTATGATTCTGGTAGCTGGCCAAATAAAGGCTATTAAAATGTGCATAAGTCTCCAGCAAAGCTTTGAATTTTTTTTAAATCTCTCGTCATGTTTCCTGGAGGATTCTGAGAGTTGTTGTGGGGGGAAAAAAGAAACCTCTCCAATCTCTGGTCTTGAGTTTTTCTCTCTTTTTTCAGCCAGTCAAAATCTGATCTTGGCTTTTTTTTGTGAGAGCGGTTTTCCTAATGTTCATAGACTTTCCTAAAACATTCACAGTTTACACTAAATCACCAAAGTGTTCTTTCTTTGCCTTCCAAATTCCAGGGGTAGAGGTCTGCCTTCAGACAGGAGCTAGGGAGGAAGAAGAGAAGTATGAAATAGACGGAGGCCCACGACAGAGTCGGCTGAACAAAGAGCAGCTGGTAAGGTTCATCTTTAAATTCCCTTATTCCACTTTTGGAGGAATAAGGAAGTGTGTGTTTCCTTCTGAGAAGTGATCGACAACCGCTAACTTCCAAAAGCAATTTCAAACTGTTAATGGATTTCTGTTGTCATATATGCCACTAAATCTTTTCAGTGCTTTTGAAGTATGTCTTGGAAACATGCATTAAAGATGTTGCCTGAAATACAAGGGTGAAAGTTTTTACCTTTCATCAACCCTTACTGCTTTTGGGGGTTGTGTATGTCTGTGTTGTTTTCCAGAAAAGTACCAGCTTTCTCCTATCCAATCTGCAATCGGAAAACTTAGTTTAAACTTCCAATTTAAGCTTCAATTGGCATTTCTTAATTGTAAGGTCTCCTGAGGTTACTTTGTAACCATTTTGATGTTGTTCTTATTAATTGTGACAAGAGAAATGTGGGTTAGCTGATTATTTTGACTCATGATACAAATTTTAGACATTGCCAGGCTTCCCACATTTCACCAAGTATGTTTTCCTGTTCCAGAAGCCTTGTATGTATTTTCCCTACCTCCTTTTGTCTCCTTCCTGCACTACAAACATGTTTCCTTCTCCTAGTGGCACTGTGTGATGTTTTCTCCAACCACCTTCTCTCTGTTCCTGTTCCTCCACCTACAAGGCTTCTGGCTCCTTCATCTTGGTCCGCCTGGCTTCTCAGATCGGAATTCGTAATGACTTCTCGCCTCCTTTTTCATCCAATCCTGCTTTAAGTTCCTTTTCAGTTCTGCTTCTGCACTTAACAAGCTTGCTTTGGCACTCATTCTCTCACATATTCTGCAGTCTGCCTGCTAACCCTGGGCTATTATTTTTATTGCATCGCACTTACTTTTAATAGCATGTAGTCCTTCTTGTCAACTGAGCAGGCATGAAACACATTGGACCCTTGATATCCATGGATGCTTAAGTCCATGCAAAAGTGTAGGAAAATAGTCTCTCTTAGATAAAATGGCAAAATCAAAGTTTGCTTTTTGAATTTTAAAAAAGTATATTTATCGTATATTCTGGTGTATAAGACTACTTTTTAACCCAAGAAAATCTTCTCAAAAGTCAGAGGTCGTCTTATACGCAGGAGTTGTCTTATACATGGGAGTCGTCTTATACACTGGAGTAGTCTTATACGCCACTAGTCATCTTATAGAGTGGGTGCTGAAACTTCCAATCCAGATTGGAGAATCTGTAGTTGCTGCATATTGTAGGAGGAGCTCAAAAATTGGCAGTGGCCGCATCCCTTCCTTATGAAGCGACTGTATGAAAGCATTAAGGGCGATGCTGTACAAGTACGGTAGAAGAAAATCCATTCATCAGGATCCGTGGACTTAATGTGGTCCCGATGGTGAGGTGAAGGGGCGCCTCACTGGAAAGATGTAAGTGAAGGGTGGAGCAAGCTGTAGGCATTCGGGGAGCCTGGGGTGCGGACAAAAGAGATAGATTTATTTATTTATTATTTACATCTTTTATATTCCGCCCTTCTCACCCCGCAGGGGACTCAGGGCAGATTACAGTGTACACATATATGGCAAACATTCAATGCCAAATTTTGACATACAAACATATACAGACATACACAGAAGCTGTTTAACTTTTTTTTTCTGGCCGCCAGGGGAGCTGTCGCTTTCATTGTCCATCTGCGACGCTGATGAAGCACTTCCGCATTCCCCGCATGCTTCCCCGCTGGAATGCTTTGCTGGAGTCTTCTTTATGGCCTCATAAATCAGTTAATTTAGCCTCCCCATACTAAGGTGGTACCTAATGTTCCTACTTGACAGATGCAACTGTCTTTCGGGTTGCAAAGGTCAACAACAGGCTACACATAATTGGTTGGAAACCCACTCCAACCCAGGCTGGCTTCGAACTCATGACCTTTTGGTCAGAGTGATCTTAATGCAGCTGACACTCAGCCAGCTGCGCCACAATCCCAGTGCTCTGGGCCCAGACAAACACACCTCTTTTACCTGTCTGGCCCACCCTTGTATCCTATTACTATACTTCCTCCTCTGCCTCTCAGATCTCGCTCCTGAAGACTGCAGTGAAGTGGTGCAGGTGCGCATGTGCGAGATCTGAGAGGCAGAGAAGGAGGTACAGTAATAGGAAAATTACCATATTGAAATCAAATCTGATGCGTTTAAATTTTTTATTTGGTGTGTGTTGGAATAGGGGTAGTCTTATATGGCGAGTATATCCCAAACTCTATATTTTAACTGGAAAAGTTGGGGGTCATCTTATACGCCCAGTCGTCTTATATGCCGGAAAATACGGTAAGTTGTTGTTCCTTAACAAACTCTTTCCAAACAAATGTACTATTTATCTATATGTGGTTGCTAACCCTTTCCTGTGTTGAATGTATATTGACATCACCCCACATCATCTGTATGTGGTTTGACAAATAAGTTATACATATTCTGAGGCTATTGTATTATGCCTTCATTTTAATCCCCCAGTTATTTTATGTGAACACTTTCTTCTTTGTTTTAGTTGCCAAAATTGTTTGATGGCTGCTACTTCTATTTCCTTGGAGTGTTCAAGGAGCACAACAAAGATGACCTGAAAGAACTGGTGAAAGCAGGTGGAGGACAGATTCTCTTGAGGAAACCCAAATCGGATAATGATGTGACACAGACAATCAATACTGTGGCCTATCATGCTGAGATTACTTCTGACCAAAGTTTCTGTACCCAGTATATAATCTATGATGGTTCGTCTAACTATACCCCAGAGAAAATTCGTCAAGGAAAGGTCTGGGAGGTGCCATCTAAATGGCTTGTAGAGTGTGTGATGTCATTTCAACTATTACCTGTTAAGCAATGAATTTCCCAGCATTGTGACACCTGAATCATTTGTGTTGCCTGGCTTTTTTAAACAGAAAGTGAAACTTCGCTCTTCAGTTAAAAAATAACTGCCAAGTCGCAGATTGGTTTTGTTTATACGCTGCAAATTACTGAGTCGGGGTCAAGGGATAAATATAACCAGAATTTGGTTGTTGTTACTATTATCTCCAAGTGTCCAAGCTGGTGGCTTTTTTAAACTTATGAATAATTTGACTTATGACAGTTATTTCTATATTCTATTTGTGTTTTTGCAGGTGTTTTTTTAAAAAAATCTGCTTTCCTTGAATGAATTCAATTTCAATTGTGATCTAGTAGAAAACACTTGTGTTTGTCCAAAGACTTTCCCTGTCCCTCTGAATCACAAAGTATTCTGAAATAATAGGAATTTTGAACAGAATGTGCATGTTTCTCAGAAAGCATCTTCCAGTGTCATTCTGGGTATTATAATCCCTTTATATAGGAAGCAATAATATCAACTACCTACGTACTAAAGCGTTTTTTTCTGTTTGAACATAATGAAACTGGCACTGTTGTTTTGTTGAGCTTGTAAATAGCATTTTTTCTGTGTCTAATCATGATATCTATGTTTTCATATGTCGTTTTAAATGTTTCAGATTATAATCAGTGATAAATCATGACTTGAAGCATTGTATTCGAACATGTGTGTATTCTATACTGTTGAAAGGTGGGTTTGTTGTCTACATCAGCCCAGTCAAATGAATTGAATCAGTGTGCCTTAACAGTCCAATGCAGCTCAATTTAGAAATGTTATTTATGTGGAATGTCATTAAGATGGGTCTCATTGCTTGTTAACAATTGCAGTGTTTCTTTATGGATCAGACAAACTGTCCCTCTCAAGTACTGCTTTTGATAATAACTCCCATCACTATCAGCCAACATGGTCACTGATAACAGTTATTGCAGTTTACAACATCTGGAAAGCTTTTTCCATCTTTGCTTTGTACCCTTTGCCTTCTCTCCCTTTTCTGTTTGTTCTAGTGGAGCCCTACATTCAGTCTCGTACTGTCATGAGAGCTGAATGAGCTTCTGAATTTCACTATTTATGTATTTATTTATCAATTTTATATACCGCCACTCCTGGAAGGCTCAGAACGGTTTATAATATACAATGGGTATTTTTTAAGTAAGGTCCGTTTGAACATAAGTACACAACAGAAGTTTATTTCTAAAAAGTAAATTTATTTTCAGAAAATACATATTTCACTCTATTTTTCGACATAGTTGCCAAGTTTGTTCAAACACTTATCATAGCTCTGAACCAATTTTAAAATACCCTCTTTATAAAAACTTGCTGCCTGCTCCGATAGCCAAGAGTTCACTGCTGTTTTCACATCGTCGAAGGGCAACCGGAGCGGTCCTCATCATGGACGTTGTCACGGCCATCTTTGAATTGTTGTACCCACTTACGCACTTTGTTTTCACTCATAACAGTATCACCGTACACTTCACAAATCTGTCGATGAATTTCTGCAGCAGGCAGGTTCCTTGCTGACAAAAACCGTATCACTGAGTGAACCTCACATGCGGCGGGTGAGTTGATAGTCTTAAACATTTTTAAAGCACAGAACAGAACTGTACAGGTTAGCTACAGAGCGAAAACTGAGCACAGTTGTTCCCGAGGCATGCCGGTACACGACACACGTGCTCGTTGCGGTATGCGCGCGAACTATTCGTGTCTACAACAAAACAGACCTTACTTAAAAAATACCCCTCGTACATATGCGATGCATTACATTTAAAATCAAAGAAAAATTTCAATCAGCAAGATTCAAATGCCAGCCTAAATAAATAAGTTTTACAAGCTCTACAAAAAGATAGTAAGTCTCTGAGAGCTCGTGTTTCCGCTGGCAAGGCATTCCACAGGTAAGGAGCCACCACCGTGAATGCTCTATGCCTAGTAGACATCAGGTGAAAGGTCCTAAAATTGGGAACTTCAAGGAGATTCTGATCATCTGAACGGAGTGATCTCGGGCGTTGGTAGGGGGTGAGGCAGTCCCTCAGGTACTCCGGCCCCAGGCCATATAAGGCCTTAAAGGTAAGAATCAGCACTTTGAAGGTCATCCGGTGCTCAATCGGCAACCAGTGCATTTGCTGCAAGATTGGAGTGATATGACACCTCTCTGGGACCCCTGTGAGAAGCCAGGCAGCAGCATTTTGCACTAGTTTATGTTTCTGGATCACCAATAAAGGCAGGCCTATGTAGAGGGTGTTACAGTAGTCCAACCTTGAGATGACCGTAGCCTGGATCACCGTGGCCAGGTCGTCCCTAGACAGATAGGGAGCCAGATGCCTAGCCTGATGCAGATGGAAAAATGCGACTCTGCTTGCAGCGGAGGCCTGGTTTTCATTGGGGGTTCATCTAAAGTGCATCCAGAGGTTTAACTCATATTTTCTTTTGACTTGGCTTCATGCGCTTTAAACACCTTCATTCATGCTGCAGTGCACTTTGGCAGCATACTTTTTCTAGCCATTGCAACTTGCAGTCTGCTTGAAGGTGCGTTAAATGGTCAGTGTAGATGTGCCCCAAATGTTACAGTCAAAAGTCATTCATCAACAAGAAATCATTCTGCTGTCCCATTTTCCCACTCATTTGGCTGGGCAAAGTGCAGCCATGAGAAGCAAACACTCTGGAAAATAAATCGTTGTAATAGTTTTTAATGATCTGCCTCAATTATATCACAAGTGGTGATGATATATTGTCAGTATCCTTCCATGATACCGGCAGATCAGTGTTGAAGCTTAATGTATTGAATTCTGTCGCTATAAAGTGTAATGTTTCATTTTACCAGAGCTTTAACAAGTGTTAACTCAACCTTAAAATAGCAGGATGCTCTGTATGTGTATGTGTGTGTGCAGGACTGTTTTCAGAAAAAGAAAATCTTAACTTCTCGTTTCTGAGTGGGAAGAAGCAGTTTCTATCTCAATCTAACTCCCAGCGGGAGGTCAAGTCTGATGTATCTGAGAAATGTCAGAGCCTGCTGGGAGAGGTTGGGGAGGGGGAAACAGTAGCGCTGTGCTGCATGGTGATGCCGAAATGGTGACATGTAACAAGCTGCCACCTTTTATTCAGTGCAGCATTTTATTTTATTCTCTAAACCACTGCAGAAACATGTGTGCTTTGTAGGTATGAAAGGATGCCTGTAGTTTCGCCGTAAGATTTGAGGAGTGTGCTTTGTCTTGGCAAGTTCCATACATTAGAGGACAGTGCCATTACTTTGAGCTGCTGTGGATCTCATGCTGTGGGAATGGTGAAATATACATACGGTGAAATAATAAATGACCTCCTTGGAACATTGTCAAGATGCCATTCCAAGTCAGAGCTTTGACGTGCTACTTATTAACAAGAACCCATATTGAAGCCTCTTCCTCTTTGAGAAATCTGTGATTTAGGAGCCTGCACATTCTGACATCAAAAAAACCAAGATTATGGCAACAAGAATGATTGAAACTGGGAAATAGAGGGAGAAAATGTGGAGGCCGTGACAGACTTTGTATTTCTAGGTGCAAAGATTACTGCAGATGCAGACTGTGGACAGGAAATCAGAAGACACTTACTTCTTGGGAGGAGAGCAATGTCCAATCTCGATAAAATAGTAAAGAGTAGAGACATCACACTGGCAACAAAGATCCGCATAGTCAAAGCATGGTATTTCCTGTAGTAACCTATGGATGTGAGAGCTGGACCTTAGGGAAGGCTGAGCGAAGGAAGATAGATGCTTTTGAAGCTGTGGTGTTGGAGGAAAGTTCTGAGAGTGCCTTGGACTGCGAGAAGATCCAACCAGTCCATCCTCCAGGAAATAAAGCCCGACTGCTCACTGGAGGGAAGGATACTACAGACAAAGTTGAAGTACTTTGGCCACATCATGAGGAGACAGCAAAGCCTAGAGAAGACAATTATGCTGGGGAAAGTGGAAGGCAAAAGGAAGAGGGGCCGACCAAGGGCAAGATGGATGGATGGCATCCTTGAAGTGACTGGACTGACCTTGAAGGAGCTGGGGGTGGTGATGGCCGACAGGGAGCTCTGGCGTGGGCTGGTCCATGAGGTCACGAAGAGTCGGAGACGACTGAACGAATGAACAACACAATCAAAGACCATTCTGAACCCCACCAATGATGGAATTGAACCAAACTTGGCACACAGAACTCTCATGACCAACAGAAAATACTGTTGGTGGGCAGTGTCCTTTGGTTTTGGTGGGCAGTGTCCTTTGGTTTTGGAGTTGTAGTTCACCTACATCAGAAAATACTGTTGGTGGGCAGTGTCCTTTGGTTTTGGTGGGCAGTGTCCTTTGGTTTTGGAGTTGTAGTTCACCTACATCCAGAGAGCACTGTGCACTCAATATGCCCAAATATGAACACAGATGGAGTTTGGGGGAAATAGACCTTGACATTTCAGAGTTGTAGTCACGGATTCACAGTTCACCTACAATCAAAGAGACTTCTGAACCCCACGAACGACAGAATCGGGGCAAACTTCCCACACAGAACCCCCCTGACCAACAGAAAATACTTAAGGCCATCCAGTCCAGCTCCCTTCATCAGGGCAAGAAAATGTAATCAAAGCCCTCCTGACAAAGCCATCCAGCCATTGATATAGAGAGATAGATAGATATGATATTCACACACACACACACACAGATATAGTATCATAGATTTGAAGATGGACAATAATACCTTGCATGTTCCATGGTGGGCAAATCAGACACTCTCCACATCAACACTGACAAAGAAACAATAAGAAATACTGTTTACCCACAAGCATAAAGAAATTATATATATTAGAAACCAACACTTTTTCATTACTTTATTTTCCGTATCACCAGACTGGGCCACAGCAACGCGTGGCGGGGGGCAGCTAGTCATTTATAAATCATTCATAAATCTTTCTGTTTTAATGTTTGTATATTTTTAGATTTTAGTTGTATGCCTTTAATGTAAGCTGCTTTGAGTATCCTTGTGGAGAGAAAAAGCAGGGTATAAATAAACAATATTATAATAATATGCCTAAAAAATTATACCCAAAGGAGTTTCTCTCTTAAACTCCTACTAAACCATTCCTTGACTGTTTCCGAGGATTCTAGGTCCCAGCCACATCTTTTATTCCAAATTGTAATTATGTTTTCTGGCAAAGTTAAACCATATTTTTTCAAAACATATCCAGGCTGAATTACATTGAATTTCATTCTGCTTCTCAATTAAACAAATGCCTAATTTTGCTATATTTACATCAGTTTGTCACACCCAATCAGAAAATGCTATGTATATGGCACACTTTTCCATTTGCTGGATTACACCTCCCATCATCCCCATCCAGCATAAAATGTTGGATGGAAGCAATTAATAGATAGCTGGCAAAAAAGGGATTTCCTGGGTTGAATTCAATTTTCCTCCTTGTACATTATTTGATTTACTTCCTTGGAATCATGAAGTATTTATAGCACCTCTGGCATGATACATCTTGTGTGCTGCTGACTCTTATAAGCAGAATTTGATGCAGTAAGGTGTTGACCAAGGGTGAGGGGAAGTGCACAGCCTGGATGTGGCTTAATGGTTAAAGGATCTTCCCTTTGGCCAAAAGTAGACTGAAGCTACAATCCAAACCATGCTTGCTGGGGAAGCAAGCTTCAGTTA